CCCCCCCCCATTTCCTCACATTTATTTATGTATTCATTCATTATTTGGCATAGAGAAGGGGAATCCTCTTCTTAAAACTCTTAAATTGTATCAGTCTAGGAACATATCCTTCAAATTACCTCTCATGCTCTGGGGTTACACACTACCATACATATATATGGCACTCACACTGATGCACACACAGAGTTGGGTACATACATGTATTTTGGTCATTTGCTGTATTCCAGTATTATCTAACAATCAGTGCATTCCAAATAGCTTTGCACTAAAAGTCAGTCCATTAGCTGAAGGATCTTAATGCTCCACAGAAGTGGATTCTTTTCTTCCTTCAATGAAAGTGGAAGGGGTATGTACATAAAGCACCCATTGCCTGAACAGCATTACCATCATTCTTCTTCAGTCTCACAGTGTAAAAGCATCAAAGAGATGCCTTATTCACAGGTGAAGCCCTGGAGCACTGCACACAGGTTCTGCCTCTTTTATCTGACTTGCATAGGTGCTGGCAAAATGACAGGAGACAGCAAGCAGTTTTCTGTAGTCAGCTTTCTGTTCGCTGCTGCAATTCTTTCCCCTCCTTCTCTGCCCTTACATACTTTTCTTTTGCCAGGTCTGCAAGATTATAACATGGGAGAGAAGCCAAGTACCTGTAAATGCAAGGTGAAGTAGGTGGCAGTCACATAGGTATGCAGGAGCAGGCAAGAACCTAAAGTCTGGCATCCATTTTAGGGGATTTACCACTACAAGAGAAATAGTCTGAGCCCAGGAAAGAAATAAAGCAGCAAAATCAATAACGCATACAGGAGACCCAGCAAAGAAAAAATTCATTCTTAAAGCTATCAGAGAGAAAGAGACTTGTCCCTGACCTCCAAGCAGCAGGAATCCATATGCTGAGTTAAATCCAAAGGAAGTTTTATTCACTCAAGCTGAATCATGAAACTCTCACTGGAAACTGACTGTTTCACGGGAGAGTTGAGTAAGTAAAGATGGCCAAGAGGGGTGGACACCAGCATTTTGAATGCTCTTCTATATCGGTCAAAGCACCTTCAGATCAAAAAGCACTATCCCCCTGCCAGAACTGGGATGGCTCAGTCCCCCTACCCACATTTGTAATTTGCACCTTGTTGCATCTTGGCCACCATGTCCTAAATGAGGAGAGGTGCACAAGGGAACGTGGTTCAAGTCCCTAGAGTATTTTCCTTGTTAGCAATTTGTGAGCTCTTTCATGATGCCTCTGGTTAATTATTATGCCATACAAGGTACTCAACAACCCCTGCTCTCTGGAGCAAAGGGACTCCCAAGCCTCACCCTGTTTCCAGACATATGCCACTGAATTTCACGGTTAAATTTGTTTCAAAAAGACGGTATCACTTTATAAGAGATATTGCTCCGCATCTTTCATTAAACTTCCAACAACTGCAGCCGCAGTGGCCTGCATGGCTGATTAAATGAAAAGGCACAATGTGTACATTTCTGCACCAATAATTCACCTGTTCCAGTCAACTAACTTCCTGTCAGACCCCAAAAGAAAGGACGGAGTGCTCATCTTTTCACTTTAAGTGCCTGACGAGAAGCCCTCCAAGGTCAATGGAAAGATTCCTATGGGCTTCGATTGGCCTTTGATCAGTCCCTGAATGTTCAGTAGGTTAATCAAACTGGAAGGAAACAAAGCCAGACTACTTGCTCATGTCCTTGTTTATTCAGGCTAAGAAAACTGAAGTTTTGAGTAAGTTTACATATACCTGTTATATAGGATCTGCCTTACTGTTACCCGTGGCATAACATAAGAATTGCACCCAGGTTGCAAACCTAGTACTGCCTTGAGAGACAACGCTGCCGTGGGGGGAAAAGAGGGACCTGCAAACACCCAGGATGTTAATGCCTACTATATAGACTCCAATGAATTCTGTGGCAACATCAAAACTCACAGCACCTACCTCTGAAGCATCCCTGACCACAGCCTCTTCCCTGTGTACAACCCCAACTCCTATCACCAATGCATCCTTTAACTTGATGTCTGGCGTTCATGCCCTGATATCTCACTGCTAGTTGTGCTACTGATTTATAATATTGCTTAAATAAAATCTAGAAGCCTTTATTTCTAGGAGGAGGAATAATATTGCAGAGAATCAGCTTTGAAGAAGTCATGTGCATAGAGACTGCAGCAGTGGTACTGTTTGAAACCATCCAGTTGTGAATATATCTAAAATTCACATATCTTCATGAAGAAACATGCACTCAGCATTTTTCTCCATCTTAATTTTAGGTTAAGCATGAAGCCACTGCAACTGTTCATCAGTAAGTATTTATTACAATCTTCTAACTGCTTCTGCTCTGCTTTCTGACTATAGGTTAATGCATAAGAACCAAGATGAACAGACACATCACTGTTTGAAAGTAATGCTTCCTTGACCAACAAGAAGCTTAAATAGTCTTTATTACCTATTTTATTTATAGTAATACTGGAACTCCCAATTTATGCCAGAGCTCTATTTTGTTGTGCATTATGGAAATATGTACAGAGACCCACCCTAAAGAGTTCTGCAACCTAAACAACAGCTGGCTGGGGAAAAATGGAAGCAACTCAAGGTGAAATGACTTGGCTGAAGTCACACATAGAAACATGGCAGAGAATGCATGTCTCCCAAGCCCCTGCTCAGTTTTCCATCCAGTAAGACTAAGATGCTTCTCAAAATGGAAAGAATCATCCTGCCATTAGATCTGCAACAGCTTCTATCAAAAAGTCTCAAAGAGTGTTCTCTGAAGCAGCAGTGATCTGCACAGCACCCGCTTCTAGGAAAAGGTGGCTGGCCACATAAGGTTGGCTCTTTTGATTATTTCCAGCTGTTAAATTGCATTAGAAGTTAAAAATATATTGAATATTCTTCTGGGTAGACCATAGAGCAATATGCATAATCAACTGCAAATTAGTCCCTGGAAAAAAACTCCAAACACTTATTATATTTAGATTCGGGAGCAAGGCAAGAATGGTGACATACACACTTCATTCATGTTAGAGAATTACATGACCTAATGAGAATTTTCGCAGAAGTTGATAAGAAAATATTTTGTTTTATTTTTCTTTTATTAATGTTTTACAGCTTTTATTGCTCTGGCTTTCAAATACAATAAAACCTTTAAAAATGCAGGGAGACACCAAATGGGCAGTTGAGATATCATGACCATTATAACATGCCATAGTTTTATAAACCTACTAAGAGGGATAGGAAAAGGCTGGTAGGGACAACTCTGAAATGAAGGTGTGGAATATGGAGTGTTTTAAATCATAAACATGCACTTTTCCAGGATTCAGACCTTTTTGAAAACATTCCTCACTTTCTGCTATCTAAAACCTTTTAAAATATTCAGACATTATTAGATCAAGCATTTCCCTACAAAGCACGATGAATGAAATACGGCATTTCAGCTGTCAGCATAGACAAGACAGCAGAGTGAAGCCTAGGGGAGAAGAAGAGACTTTAAGCTTCACTGACATATACTCTATAAAAGGGATGCTAGGCAGACTTTTTGGGTCAGTGGTAATCAGCAGGAATATGAAAGCCTAGCTGGACTGTAGAAATGGAAAAAAAAACCTTGCTTTCATACTCTAACAGTAGAAAGCACTAACATAATCTGTGTCGAGCAGACCAAATGAGGTGCCATTTATTTGGAGGAGTCCCCATTAAAGTTAATTACACTGTACCAACTATATCAGTGAATAAAGATTGTATGACTTGGCCCCAGAATGGTTATCATGCATCTGATCAGTGCTGTGTGCATGCTCACGTGTTGCATTAACTGGGTAACGGATAATTTAACCAGAAAGTAACTAACCTAATGAAAAAGATTTCTAGTTACAAAGCACCCTAGTCAACATAGGATAGCTAATGACATATTCTATAAACATAGCTACTGACATTCTTAGCCTATCCATCTGTCATTCCCATAGATGTAGTATATATTGTATCACTGAAATAGTTCAGCACCTTTATTAAAGTTGGTTTTCTTTTCTAACTTCTATTTAATATTTTTAATAGTTAAAGAATACTTAATCTCAGTGACTTTCACATCATTTAAAGCCAGGATTTCACTTCCTATCAAAACTGCACATTATGATAGGAAGCAGGTCCTTATTCCGCCTCAATGGAGCTTTTCCCTCAAAATTAATCATTCACACTTTGAGCAATTTTTGAAAAAATGAAATATATATGCATCACTTGGGTAGATGCTGCACTTAAATATATGTAAATGGGCTCCAATGGCAGATGGTAGAGTTTTTATGTTTGGGACTTAGAGTATATTATGATTAATTAAAAACCTTACTATGATAAAACAGGACTTGTTTCTAAAAATAACTCACAATGTTAAAACAAGTTAAATTAGTTAAACACAGAGCCCAAGTTACCAGACATGGTCTCTTAGGAGGTCAAGTTTATATGCAGATTATTTAACTTGATTTTTAATTTCTGCCAAAATGGTTAAGAAGCCAAAAAGTCTTCTATATGAAGCTGAGCAGAGAACATCCATCATCCCCTGTCTATAATCAAATGATGGAAAAGTGACTGGATTAACAGACTGAATTTGGTTCCTCTCTGATAACACCTCTTCTGTATGGTCGCTTGCTGTTGCCTTGGCCAAAAAATCACAGGCAGAAGCCCCAAAAAGGAGGCTGGTGCATAACAAATTCTGGTACAAGCACGCAGAGTCTATATGATCCAGTAACAAAAGGGGATTCATACAGGCAAAAACTTCATGAGATCTTTTTTAGAGCTTCCTCCAAATCTTCCACAAAATAGTGAAGATTGTCCGCAGTGAATAAAGCAAAAAGTCTGGCTTTCAAATCCTGCACAAACCTTGGGAGAGCTGCCAGGAATTAAGGCCAACTGTACCAAATTCCGTACCTCCATGCAAAATTCAAGATCTCTTACATCACTCCTCTCCTCCTTTCCCAGCTGCCACCTGGGAAGAGAGCTCCATCAGAGCTAGGATTTTTTCCTGTGTGCCTGCTCTAGCGACTTCATGATAAAGCTTTCAAGATCCAGAATGGAGTCACTGACGATGACAGTAGAAAAATCTAACGCTCAGCCTGAATGAAACCAAGTCCTAATTTTGAAGGCTTTGTGGGCCTGATTAATAGGAGACTTTCCTTGAACTGCTTCCAAGGACAGCATGGCTGAAAACTATCACTGCACTATTATGTTGCATGGGTACCCATTTGAATGTGTTCTTTTAAAATCTCAGACTACACATGAAAGTCGATATACAAACCTGAATTCACAGATTATCCAGGGAGTCCTTTGTGCTTTAGAAAACTACCTGCTGGCATTTCTAACCAATCAGACACAGATATAAGAGTATAATGAAATGCTATGCAAGCAAGTGTGGGGATGAGAAGGGGAGATCAACAGGCAAGCTTCCAGAGCAGAGCAGTTTGACGTAACATGCCTCCGCCCCCTGCTAAAAAAAACAAAACAAACCCTCAAGGATTATACATGACGAACAGCTGGGGTATGTTAAAAGTATTTTAACCTGGGTTTGGCAGGTTTTAGTAAATCACAATTTAATCACAGTCCCAGGCCATCACTGTAAGTGAACTCTGGAATTGCTCAATAAGACACAGAAACAAGATAAACAGGAGAGTAGAAAGGATGTTTTAGAAGGAGAGAATCATTTGTTATTTACTTTTGAAGTGAAGCA